GCATCAGACTGCAAAGTCCTTTGCACTGCAACATTGGTGGTTCAAGCTCACCAGCTGCTTCTTGGAAACCCTATACAGGGTCGCTATGGGTCGGCATCGACTCAAAGGCACTTAACAACAACAACAACAACCATCTCTATAAGACTGCCCAAGAATATGTTTAGAAAAACAGTCAATCTTGTCACTGTTAAGTGCCACCAAGTTCCAATTCATAGTGACCCTGTATAGGGTTTCCAACGCGCAGTTGGTGGGTTTGAACTGCCAACTTTGCTGCCAGCAGTCCAGTGCTTAGCCTACAAATACCCTATAGGAATCCTGGGATGCAATGGTTAAAGCGCTTGACTACTAACCAAAAGTTCAGTGTTTCAAACACACCAGATGCTCCACAGGAAAAAGATGGGGCATTCTGCTTTCCATGAGGGCTTGAAGCTTTGGAAACCCCATGAGGCAGTTCTAAACTGTCCTTTAGAGCCTTTCTGAGTTGGAATTGACTCGATGGCAGATCCTACAAAAATACTCTAAAATAACAACAGTTTTGTTGTTGTTAAGTGATGTTGTGTCGGTTCTGACTCATCGCGACCCTGAATAGGGCTTCTGAGGAGCAGCTGGTAGATTTAAACTACTGACCTTGTGGTTTGCAGTCCAGTGCTTATCCTACAGTGCCACATCAGGAGTTATATATACTACAAATCAAATCTTCACAAACTAGCTTTTGGCCTGTATCTGTTCTTTCCTACTCTGTTCTCACTCTATCTCATTTTTGTTGTTGATGGCCACAAAGTTGGCTCTGCTACAAGGCAACTCAGGTACAACAGGACTGAGCTGTGGTAATCCATCCGGTTTTCCCTGGCTGGTTTTTAAAAGTCAATCATCATCAGACCTTTCTTCCTAGTCTGCTATAGTCTGGATGCTCTGCTGAAATCTGACCAGCATCAGAGCAGCACACAAGTCTCCACTGACAGACAGGTCGTTGTTACACATGAGGTGGACTGCTCAGGAATGACACTTGGGTCTTCTACATGGAAGGCATGAATTCTACCACAGAACACCACTACCCCCTCATTCTAATAAAACATAAAGGACAAAATTTTCCATGGCAAAGAGCATAAACAACTGGCAGCAATGGATGCCCAAGGCTATGCAATGCCTATGAAAACTGAACCCTACCACTGACACTATGTATACTATTTCAATGTGCACACTGTACATACTATTCACAGACATTGTACATACTATTTACTTGGAAAGCTGTTTCTGAGTGAAAAGTCACAAGGGTTTATGAATGAAACAAGGAAGTGATAAAACTGCATCTAACATATATACCTTTTAATGCATATATACACTTGTTGTACTCCATCCAATCTCTTCAGACTCATAGCAACCTAATAGGACAGAGAACTGCCCCATAAGGTTTTCTAGGCTGTAGGCTTTCACAGAGCAGATCACCAGGTCTTGTCTCCCTCAGAGAAGCTGATGAGTTCAAATCAAAGACCTTTTAGTTAGCTGGCAAGGCTTAACCACTGCGACACTAAAATTCCTTTGTATATTTGTTGTTGCTGTCAAATGCCATGAGTCAGTTCTGACTCATAATGACCCTGTATAGGGCTTCTGAAGACTGGCTAGTGGGTTTGAAACTCCGACCTGGTGGTTCAAATCAACACTGCAATCCAGTGCTTTCTGAAAGAACATGGACCTCATATTTTAGCATAGGTAAGAGAAATGGAGACTATCAATTACATTTCTTTTTTATATTTGCTGCTACAAACATTAGTTTTTGCAAAAAATGAAGGAACATTTACAAAAACAATCTTGAATTTTAAAGAAGTTTTTGTTGTTGTTAGGTGCGAGTCAGTATAGGCTCATAGCGCGACCTTGTGCACAACAGAAGGAAGCACTGCCAGAGACTTGAGAACCTGAATGACAAAGCTTTCTTCTCTGAGGGCCCTTCTCTGCGCTTCCCACGATTCCCGCTTTAGCTTGCATCTTAAATGACTTTCTCCTAATGAAGCCTAAAACAACCCACTGCGATAGAATTGAGTACAAACTCTTAAACAACCCTCTATAGCGTGTTTCTGAGGCTGTAAATCTTCAGAGGAGCACCACCGCAGAGCGGTCGGCGGGTTTGAACTGTCAAATTTGCAACTAGCAGTCCAGTGTTAATCCTACAAAATTTCCAAAAGCCCACAATTCCTGCAGATTATTGAGCCTGCCCCCTTTCAACGCATAAAGCTGCCCAGACTGGCTTCTCCGTTATAGCAGAAAAACAAAAGGCTCGGCTGGAGAAAGGAGAGAGTAAAAGGAATCAGAATGCCCTCGCAGAAACCCGGGATGCAGGGCCCAGGCCCGTCATGGGCCGGACTGGCGCGGACTCTCCTGCGCATCCAATTTTGGGAGGCTGCACTGAGGCACCTTTGATACAGGGCAAGTGTGTGTGTGTGGGGGGGGCTTGGGGAAGCCCTGGACCATCCCCAGAGAGCCGTCCTCTGGACCAGCTGCCAATGCCTGGACTGAGAGGGGAAGACAGGCCAAGAGCCCTCAGCAAAGACCCACACTGTGGACTGCCTATGCGTCTTCGTGGTGGGCAGCGCTGCACTCCCTCTTGGGGTCCGGGGTGTCAAGACCACGGTTACGGGTATGGGTACGGACGGGTACATTCATGAGGAGAAATTCGGCTCCCTAACTACCACCGGTGCGGTCTAGGGTGGGGGGCATAGAGGACTGGTAACGTGGGTGGGCTCACCTTGGGGTCGCGTTCATAGTAATGCTGCTGTGTTCGTATCCAACGGCCCACTAGATGGTCGCGCACTGTGTGCGCCAATGCGAAGTAGTAGTCCCGGGGTGTGGCCACGTTGCGGTCCTTGACCAGAGTGAAGTGCAGGTGACGGTTGAAGCTCTTCAGCACCTCAGCCACGTCGCCCAGTCCCGCCAAGCCCCGCACACTGATCTGTTTCCGCCTCTCGCTGTCAGTCAGAGGCTTCGCCATCGCGCTGGCTAAGGAACTCAAGGAGCAGCAGGAGGAAGATGACGACAAGCGCAAGGAAGCTCTGCGGAGGATGCTATAGCAGCTCTGCCACCGGGACTATAGCAAGAGCTGCTGACACGGACCGCGCCTGCGCACTGCGCCGCTGGGAAAGACTAGGATTAAGGGAGAAGCCAAAGGAGGGCGGGGCCAATCGTGCTAGGCCTCCACATTAGAGGCGGTCCCGATGCTTCGCGACCCGAGAAGAGAGATGAGGTTACTGGCTGAAGGAACTGGTAACTAGGAAGACACCCAAGAGCTGGGATTTGGGCCCTCGTTAGATAATCCCAGCAGAAAGTGGAAGCTAGTGAAGAGCAAGATTGTAAATGCCAAGCGTGCGTGGCTGGTTGCCCTAAAGACCCGAGGGCATCTGGGGACCGGATCCACGCTTTCCGGGAGGCTTTCGGGTAGGCGTGGTCCCAGCTTTGGTGCAGTGGGTGCTTAGCGAGGGGCTGAGTTATGGTAAACACAAGGGAAAATGAGTGCAAGCTTGAAAGGTAGCCACCATCGCTGGCGGACCCTATCTCCTGGATTGGGTAGGGGGAACTGAAAATAGCAGCTGAGAAAGTAAAAACTAGTTTGTACTGTACTGAGAAAGTGAAAGTGTGCCCTGCATTCTTCAGTCTGAGGTGGCAGGGGAAGCCAGGCAGCTGCATAGTTCACAGGACACGTGTGGCTTTGAAGTGAATCATTATGACCCCTTCTCCCAGTGACTACTGTTTTCTTACTCACTAGGAGACCTTGTTCCCTAAATGCACAAAGCACCAGACACCTTATGGTGAAAGTTAAATAGGTAAGAAGTAAATAAACACCCAATCAACCCTAGGAGCAACCACAATTCCAATCCCAATGCAGAGCTTCCGAGACATGGTTTCTGGATGAATTTTTGGTTATTTATCTAGCATTATTGTTCCTAAGGAAACAGAAGCCAGGTCAACTTGCAGACCAAAGCTGATACAGAATTAGTGGAAACACTGCTTGAATTAAATTTCACGTGAACACCACCTTCCCTCCTCCACAAATGCTGTAATAATCACTGCCTTTTCCTTTGTTCCTGAGATACCAGTATGCATACTTCCTTATTGCAATGGGTCAATAAGTTGTTCCTGGTTGTCATAGCTAACAGGGCAAGGAAACTGAAAAGCTTTCAAATTATACCCGCAGTAGATGTCATAAAAGGCCTTCTTTGTCCAGGGCTCAGGTGCAACAATTATTCTGGTGTGAGGTCTCCAAAGTTATCTTCTTATCT